ATTTCATTTAACTAGATGTTTTGGATACTTTGATATCTCTAGCTATTTCTCTGTTTTCTTTACTTGTTTTGAATGTTAAGGTTTTGGACATTGTATGACTTATTGCTAAGTTGGTAGATACTGATAAGAATTGATATGTTAAATGTTTTTATGTTTTAATTTGAAGGTTCCTATTTAGATGTAACATGTTGCTTGGAATGTTCAAAAGGATATCAATAATAATTTTAAAAAGCTACAAGAGTATGAACATGACAAGAGAAAAAGTTATTAATCTGTACCGTAGTCATGCTAAATAGTTGTAGGAGGTTGAAAATAACTTGTCTTGAACGCTATAATACCTCAATTCTATAGCGTTTTCCATAACGCTCCTAGAACGCTATTTTTTCTTAAAACTTTTAATAGCGTCCGATGTCCTAGCGCTCCATAAAACGCTATTACTAGTGCTTAATAGTGTTTTTAGTCAGCTACTAATGCTGATATTTCTTGTAGTGTAGCGTCACCTGGGAGGGGTTAATGTTTATGAAATAGATAAAACGTGAGCGTAAGACCCAGTATGATATATTTTGAAATAACTTTATAAATAAATAAATAAATGAGTAAGCGAGTAAATAAATAAATGAATAAGTAAATGAGACATTTAGTTACAACACAACAGTCGGAACCTCACATCCTTTTTCTGAAAGGAAATATAACTGAAAATCTATGTATTACAGGCATCATCAAGTAATTTATACTATGATAAATTACTTTCACAACCACATGCACAAGCCTATCAACCCCGGGCCGGGTTTCGAGTTTTGCCCCCAAGGATGCACTATCCACATCCTATCTAGGCCATCAGCCGGTTTACCGATTCGCAAGATCTCTTGTCTTAAGAAATCATTCATTAAACTTTATGAAATAGTTCATTATAATTCCAATAGATAAAATCAAGCTATTATTTTTAACATGCTTTTTTTTCGCAAATATGTCATTTCTTTAAAACATTTGCAAGGCCAAAACTCTTTTGAAAACAAGCTCACAAAGAAAAGGGTAAGGAATCCTACCTCACACATATCAAACCTGGCTAGCGTTGCACTATTCCGGCTTTTGCTTCCTCAAAGCTCGTTAATCTGAGCACTCAGCTAGCATTGATACAAAACCACACTTTAGAATCCAATTATCATTCCTAAAGTAATTCAATACCAATTATACACTTTGATTTCCTATTAGTGTGCCATAATTCCAATTTCAAAGTCCATAAATCATTTTATGTTTCAAATCATCATTCCAAGGGTTTTGATTCCAAAACATGGATTTAAGATGCTAATCCATTTACTCTAGGTCCCAAAATGAAGCTAATTTGGGTTCTCTTTGAAAACAGAGGTCAAAACAGCATTTTCAGGCAAAACAGGGTCAAACCCCGTGTACACCGGTCGACCGGTAACGGAGCAGTGCAACACCATCGGTTGACTGGTGGTGTGCACTTCGGTTGACCGCACAGGTCGACCTGATGTAGTGCAATCCGATTGACCGTATAGGTCGACCAGTGGAGAACTGAAGTGCGAGAAAACTCGCCGAACCAGTCCGAGAACCTGCAAATCTGAGCTTAATTCGAGATTTTTCAAAGGGAAATTATCATATCCAGGTTCCAAATGACAAATACAATCGAAGGAACCAAAAATCCCAAATTTCACCATGATTTTACCCAAAATCCATCAAACCCCGTTTTGAACAAAAATAGGTTTTTCAAATTTGAAAAATTTGAGATTCAAGAGAAGCTTTTCAGAAATCTTACCTCAATCCTACTCTTGACGTTAAAAACTTCTTGAAATTCTCTTTTGCCTCGAGATTTGGTTGTTTTGAGACACAAACGAGAGAGAGAACGAGAGAGAGTGTGTGTGTGTGTTCAAACGAGAGAGAGAAAGAGAGAAAAAGAGAGAGTGCACGGGAAAAGAAAGAAAAGGAAGAAAAAGAAAAGAAAAAGGAAAATAAAAAGAAAATGGACAGGTGTAACAAAATAAAAAACAGTCCAGAAAATGTGTCTACACACACTCTGGGGTAAAAATGTAAATGCTAAAAATATTTAAATACCTTAAAATTATTTTAAATTTACACGTTAGAAACATTTAATCAACAGTAGTAATTAATTAAACTAAATTAGGCACACTAATAAATCTTAATTACCTTAATTAATCTTGTTAAATTATTCGGGGTGTTACACTAGGGCTTGGTGGAGCAGCCTTAAAGTCAAACCTATACATATGGAGTGGGAGTGGTTTCAGCATCGCCTTTAACAGTGGATAGCGACATTCCCAGCACCTTCAATGCCTCAGCCAGTGTATAATGTACACGAGTTATACTAGAAGTTTCTTAGGTAGGTTTTGGCATCGGGTGTAGAGCCCGGCGAGCCCATGGTATCATATCATCACTGATTTCTGCATGAGTTGGTTTCAAGTTGTCCGTTCCACCTTAGCACAGAGGACTTATGCCTCATGTTCATTAGAAGAGTCCCTAGATGGATCGGAGACGTAATAGGCCTCTACGAGCTCATCCAAGACTACGACCAGATAATAGAGGGAGTACTCGAGATAGAGGCCACGTATGACACACTCATAGAGCCAGTAGGCTTGGCCCAGCAGCCTTAGGAGGAGATACCAGCTCCCCCACCAGCAGCGCCTCCTCTGGTCGAGGACCACGTTAAGTATGACGATGGAGGCATTGTCTTATATGAGGACTAGGAGCATTCCTCATCTCGAGCCTTTAGTCGTACTTTTTGTATAGGACCTTTTTGTACCCTGAGAAGTGGTAGCCACTCTCACCTAGACTAGATACTCTCACCTAGACTAGACACGATTTTCTCTTTTTGTACTGATATACAATGAGAAGTGGTAGCCACTATTACCTAGACTTGACATGATTTTCTTTTATACTGATGTATTTCGAGAAGTGGTAGACACTCCTAACAGTTATGCTGCACAGTTGTTCTAGATACTGATATATGAAGATGATGTGGGAAGTGGATTACACTCCCAATAAAGATGTTATAAAGATTTCTAGTTATATAAAATGAAATTTATGTTCATGTGAAGCCATGTATGAACTATATGACTATATGTGCTTTAAGTAGTATTATGATGATCACGATTTATGTGACAGAATAAATTAATTCACTGTAAAAGTGAAAAGACTCATATGACCTTTCTCTCATGAAGGAGGATTATGGAACCACCTCAAGAACAAGCGGCTCAGGGTCCTTAAGCAGTTGAAGTGGCCACCCAAATGGCCAAAATGAGACAGTTAATTCTAGCTCAACAACAAGAAATGAACATCTTGCGGGAGCAGCTCGCGCAACCTAGCGACATTATTTCTTAGATTGGGCCCAAAATTTGTATTCAGGCCCATTAGTCTCAAACATGTCTACAATGGTCCTTTATACTAGCGTGCCTAACTTAGTGTTACAAATTCTCAATCCAAATCTTGTTCTTTGAACTCATTAGTAAATCCCATTTTACTGCTAGTAATATCATCGATTACTAAGAATTTGGTCCGGTAGGCACTTAGTGATTATTTTTTTAGAAGATAACCATAAGTTTATAACAATTTTAAAACTTCTTATTTTGTCTTAATGTGATCTAAAAGTTTTGTGTTTTACGAAAAATGAGGTTCGACCTCGGAAAAGACTGAAATCTTAAAAATTACCGAGGCACAAATATTATTTCGCGCAGTTTTTAAAAACATCCCGAAAACAATTCCTAGAGTCGGAATTGTGATTTTTCGCAGTCACATAGATTTATTCGTAACGCCAAAAACTTTAAGACTTAGGCCTCAAAAATCCTAAAATTGCCTTCTAAAGGGTCCAAAAACAGCAAAATAGAAATTAGTTCGAGTTAATAACTTTGGACAGTTTTGATGAAATTCTGGACAATTTTGGAAAAACGTCTGAAAACACATTTTAGATGCAGAATTGAGATTTTTCTCAGTCACAAGGAAATGTTTAGCGCATCAAGATCTACAACTTTTCTAAATAGTATTTGTCTCAATTTGGACTCTAACAGCTCCGAATTTTAAGTCAAAGTGGACTAAAAATTTTTATCCGAAAATAAAGATTACCAACTTAAATTTTTTTCATCTTTATCCTCTTAAGGTTAACATAAAAAGTTAAGAACTTGTTCCAAACACACAAAATATCAACCTTAAAACATGAAATACAATTTCAAAACATAGATCTAGCATTAAAAACCTCATGCATGTGAAAATCTAACTTTTTAATACACATAAAACACAATTTTGTAAACAATCTAAACTTTATTCTTAAAGTTAAAGGATCAATATAAGTTTTGAAAAGTCTTACCACAAGACTTAGGAGAGGAAGGGTTTTGACCACCAAGGTGAGAGATTCTTACAAAGATTAAACTTTTAAAGAGAGTTGGAACTTTGAATAAAAAAAATTAAAAGAGAAAAGTTTTGATCTTTACCTTTGAATGGCTTAGTTTAGTAGGGATTTTAGGAGGCTAAAATCAATTTTTTACTCAACTAAAACTGTTTAGTGTGTTTGATAAATACCTCAAAAAGTATTTCTTAGAGAATTTAGGAGGAATTTTATGGGGAAATTAGAAGTAGCCTTTGGGCTGCTTCTGATTGTAGATTGAGAAATAGTAGAAAATATGCTAATATGAAAAGCTTAAGAAAGTATATAGGCCAATTTTTAGTTATAGAAATTAAGAAGTCATAACTTGTCAAGTTATGGTTCATAATCAGATAAATTATGGATAAACTTATCAAGTTATGGTTCATAGCCAGACAAGTTATGGACAATTATAGACAATAACTTGTCAAGTTATGGATGAAAACAGTAATTTTAACCTATTTATTAACTTATGTAAAGTATTAATTTATTAATTTTAATTCATCTCAAGTCTTGACATATTTTCTCCGCTCTCTCGGATTGTGCGGCAATCTACAATGGGCTCATTAATGAAATTTACATTATTCCCAAATTAACCCCGCTGAATCAACGAAATTGAGCTTTCGGTTTTCTCTGCTTCTGATACAGTTCTGCCATGGAAACCCTGGCTTCTCAGCTCACTTCGACGCTTCGTTTGCCTTCGATGGTGTCTGTAAGCTTTAATGGCAGACTCTCAAGCTCCATTGTTCTCACAAAACCGAGCTCGCGTGTCCATACATTCAGATGCTCAGCACTATCATCGCCTTCTTTAGGTAAATTGCTTATTTTTTTTCCTGTTTTGTTGAAATCTTCAAATTCTTTGTCATCGGAGCCATCCACCTTGCTTTTCTCTGGCTCGGGCTCGGTTTGCAGGAAAATGATCTTACATGAAAGGCAAATTGCCTCTGTTTGGCGGCTGAGAAAAGCGAGGAAACTAGCATAAGATTAATTATGGGGAAATTTACTTTATATTAATTTTTATTCGGGTATAATGTACGTTCCGGTTCTTAATATGGAAAATAATAGAATTTGTTTGACGTCTCAAATTGAGAAAAGTTACAAGTTTAGCAGAACAGTTTCTTAGCTACCAACGCATAACGTGATTTATTTGAATCCGAGGTAGGAATTAGACGAAATATCACTGTGAGACGTAACATGATTTTCCCCTAAAATGATTTAATGTCAATTTTGGTTGGCGCGTTTCATTTCCTCCAGTGGATCAATCGGAAAGATTTTCGGAAGCTTCGAAGAAGGGAAATTTAATTCCTCTGTATCGAACAATATTCTCGGATCACTTAACTCCGGTACTTGCATACCGATGTCTGGTTAAGGAGGCTGATATAGATGCTCCAAGCTTTCTGTTTGAGTCCGTTGAGCCGGGTTTGAGGGCTTGCAGTATTGTAATCCCTTTTTTTCTTGTTCATACGGGTGTCTATTTTCTTCTGTTTTCTGGTTCTTCAATGTTCTAAGCTTTTATCTTTTTTAGGGGCGGAACAGTGTGGTTGGAGCTCAGCCCGCGATTGAAATAGTTGCGAAAGAGAATATGGTTACGATTCTCGACCACGAGGAAGGATGTAGAACAGAGGAGATTGTTGAGGATCCGAAGATTGTTCCTCAGAGACTAATGGAGGGATGGACACCTCAGCTTGTCGATGAACTTCCAGAAGCATTTTGTGGTAAGAATAGCAGATGCAAAACGTAATTGTTGTTTTATATAGAACAGATGACATCAGTTTCCTATGAACTTGACTTTAAATGGCTGCTTGTTTTCTGGTGTTAGATCAGAGAAGTGTGGTCAATTTATTTTTGAAGCTGATAGGCTGGGTTCGTAATGGCCAAAATCTTCTTCTCATATTGTTTATGATTTTTGTTATTTTTTACCATTCCGTACCAATTCTTTCTTGTGAAAAAATGTAAGGTTGAATATTGTTTGGTATTGGTAATTCTGACAAAGATATTGTTAGATTAGTATTTTAAATTATTGTTTGATCCAGTCCCGGAGCAATAAAGGATTTTTCTATGAGGTGACTAGTTGATGTTCAGTGATGTGCTCTTTTATCAGGTAGATGGGTTGGTTTTTTCTCATATGATTCTGTGCGCTATGTGGAGAAGAAAAAACTACCATTTTCTTCTGCCCCTCTGGATGACAGAAATATTCCCGATGTTCATCTAGGCCTTTATGACGACGTGATTGTTTTTGATCATGTGGAGAAGGTAGTTAAACTGTCAAACCATGCCCTTTTGAGCGTCTCTTTTTTTCTCGTGTTTGATGCTTTTTTGTGCTGAGTAGGTTTTATCATTTTGTGGTAGTTAACTTCCTTTTTTCTTGGTAGTAAGTATTTCAAGCTGGATCTGACGTTCACTCTCTGCAATCGCTTCACTCTAGCAAACATAAACAGAAGCGTAGATTCAAATCCACATGGACATAATTATCGTTATAAGAGCTTCTACATACTTTGACTAAACAAAATTTCCCTTTAATTTTTTCCCAATCTTTGGCTTTAGAGGATGACATGAAGCACCAATTCTTGGCATTAGCAGTTGACTATGCATCAGTCATTTGCTGTCGCGTTTCTTTAAGACAAAAGGCATTGGTAAGAATGTTTTTTCCCTCATCAGTTTTTCCTCCTTCAATTACTAGGCTATATGCATCTTTTTGTTCTGAATTTCAATGATCAAGTCAGTAATATGCTCATGATTGTAGATTATGGTAACTGCACTATACGGTTATGTTGACGGTTGGATTTCGTCAACAATAAACCCGCCGGATTACCTTAGGGTTACCCTTAGGATTACCGGCTTGTGGGTTTAATGAAAGTGTGGATTCTAGTTTGATTTAAGTATTTTTGTGTTTGAATGAACTATATGTAAATGAACAAGAAGAATTTTATAGTGGTTCATGTTGGGAATGGTGTCTTAGAAGCATGAGATGTAATAGGATATTTATTATTTATTTAATAAAAGAGTTTATTCATTATTTTATGTGCATATATTTATGAATATTTTATGAATATCAATGAAAATTTCATGATTATTTATGTAACCTTAAACATTGTATATAAGTGTTATATACGAGAGGATAATGTTTAAGGATAATAATCAAAAAGCAATGTTCATAATGAATTTAATTAAAGTTAGGAATCTTTAATTAAAACATTATTAATACATGTCATTCACATTTAGAATGGAACGGTGTTATCCGCACTGTTGATATGGCGAGATATTGAATGAGTGTATTTCGCATAATGAGATTTTGTGGAACAAGTACACAGACACAATATGAATTTCTAATAATTCCGTTAAGTATAGAAATTCTAATTGAGTCTACCGATGGTCATATATATGATGATCTTAATCCTGAGTTCTTAACAGACTCCTATTTGTGGATTTGCGTCTTTTGATTTACTCGGTACGGATTCTGAGATCCTGAATCCTATTCCTTGTATTTTGGAAACATGATGAAGTAGGTAGCCGGGAATGTTATTACACGAGATGGAATCCATTCCTTCTTAAGAAAGAAGTAGATAAATAATT